AATGTAAGCCTGGTTCTCAAAAGGTGACATTGCACAAGAAAGTTCAAGACAGTATTTGGTAGTTTCTATTACTAATTATTAATTATAGACAAGGGGACGTTAAGGAGGGACAGTCTTCTTGACTGAAGGACCGATTGCTTTCTTCAAGCTGTTATATAACCCTCTTCATTCTTCATATTGGTCTAAACTCAAACAACAGACTCAATAAACCACTTGCTGTAGTGAATCCTGGCTAACGCTTGGGATTAACACTATTTCTCTTTCTCTGAAGGTAGTACCTGCTCTCTTTAAAGTTGTAGGAACTATGAAATGGTTTTAGACTTTGATTTTTGTTCTTTTATATACAAATACAATTCAAGTGGTTAATTTTTTTCATTGTTGTTGCCCTTGTTATACAGACAAAATGCTTCTGGTACTTCACATTCTTTTTTAGGAAGAGGTATTTATTTTCTTATGTCTGATTAATGTCTCCTTCAAGTCTATTCTCCCATTACTAGTCATTAAAGAGGCTTAAAAAGCAGATAATTTACACTAGTATAACGTAACATAACGTAATGTAGCGTAATGCTATTAAGAGTAAAAAACCAAACCAGTTTATTTCCACAAATTGCTGGTAGGCAGAAACAAAAATTATGAGCCAGCAGCAGCTTCCATACCAAGCCTAGTATCACAATCAAGGTTATCTTTATTAGAGATAGATGATGTCAGAGCTGAGGAAGGATTTTATATGCAAGCAGCATACCACTTGCAGACATTTGGAATTATGATCAAGACCGTAAAACTTTTTTTTTTCCTTTAATGACTTACAGAAAAGGACTAAAAGATTAGACTCACCTTGCATATTTTGTGAACATTTTGAACACTAGAGCAAAAAAGCATTTTGTATGCTTAGTGTTTATACAAAAGTAACTTACAGAATGGATGACCCCATACATCCCTGAAGTGATATCTTGTGTCTTTGACTATAAGGCCATCTAGAAACTGAGCCCAGAATCTGTTTTTATACATCAACCACAAGAAGAAAGCTATCGGAAGCCTTCCAGAACTCTCTTCTTTAAGATAATTTTGAGTATAGGGCCTGCAAGCGCCTGCAGAGGAATAAAAAGCAGGGCTGAAGAGTGAGCTAACACTAGAGAAGTGCTCAGTGTATGTGTACAGATGGTCTGTCAGTCTAACTTCTTCTTGAGGATGTCTATTACTGTGAACTCTGCAGAGTAATTATTAGCTTCATTTTACAGAGTAGGACTCATATTTCATTAAAGTCAAGATCTTGCTCTTCTTTCTTTAGCATAGACAAATACCTACAGGTATTTGACAATGATATAATAGAAAAACTCCAGCTGTTAACATTCTCAGCCAGTATAAAAGGCTATTTAATTATAAACATTGCTGATTATTTGAGGGGGTTAAAAGCCTTAAACCAAAACAAAGATCTTTGCCACCTACATTCCACCTGAAGACGTAACGAATTAAGAAATCTGCACAAGTAACTCTGAGTTTTCTTGTACAGTTAGGATATGGAAATTGAAGAATAAAGTAACTATCCTGAGTCATTGATCCTTGGTATTAAAAAAATCTGGCAAAATGTTAGAGTCATATCATTCATATCATATCATATCATCCCTACTCATTACATCTGTTGTTACATAGTTTAGCAGGTGCAGAGGAGGAGGCAGAGAAAAATGCAATGGTCTGTACAATAGGCTGCCTAGAAACAATTTTCCTAGCCCTCTTATGCTAAAGAAGACAAGAGTGAAGGATGCAGAAGAAGAGTACACAAGGAGAAACAAGGCTATAACCAGGGGGAAATAGATCTAAGAGAGCTATGTCTGTATGCAAACCACTTTTTAAACAAACATGGAACAATCAAAACACCATCCAATGGAAAGCAAAACACAATGATATATAATTAATCATTTTAGCCAGTTTGAAACCAAAGGAAGAAGCAAAATCTTTTAAAATTATTGGGGATTACAATTGCTTCTTGTTTTAGTAGAGATATTAGAATACAATTGTCTTTTCAGAAGGCAGATACTTAGTCTTTAAAAGGCCCTACATTACCAGAAAGTTGTTCCATGATTAAATTGCTACAATATCGAGTCATATCAAGTTTACAAGAGTGTGGGAAAGTTCCCCTTTACTTGTTAATTGGGGTAACAAGCCCACAGGAGATACTAATTTAGTTCTGATGTACCCAAAGTCAATATCAGAATTTATTTTCTTTTGTTGTGCACCTAACTATCAATGTTTAAAACTGCACAGATGTGTATCTTTTGGGGACCCTGAATAAGTATTTGGCTTTCAGTAGCTACTGCTAGTAATTAAAAGGTCTTTCCATTCCAGTGAATGGAATGTTTCTTATAAATTAATATTATCTACTCTCTGATGAAATTGAAATCTAGGAACGAAGTCCTTTAGGTAAATTATGGAAATAATAGTAATAGTAATTCCAACTAGATGATAATTTTCTGGTTTCTATTTTTACACAGATAGCAAAAATTACCTCTGTGGATATCTTATTAACATGAGTACAGCTACTCCAAGTGATGTATCTTAGGTGTATCAAGAAACATTTACTTTCTCCAATCAGTTAAAAGACATCTAAGAATTCTAATTTCTCCAAATGTTGATTATTTTTTATGAACTAGAAAAGTTTCTCTCCAGATGCATAGATTATTCAATGCAGTAATATAACTAAACTTCATACTGCATTCAGCCACAAAGAAAGAAAAAATATTGGACCTTACTTTGCAGTGAACAACATGAACACTTGACCCTGTAGAGAGCCATAGAAGTGACAAATTGCTTGAGACCTTTATAGATGTTGCACAATTTTTCTTCTGTGTTGTAAATTAGTATACTATGTTTTTGACAAGTTCATTGCTAACTGTCCTTATTCATTACAGCTGGAATTTTCAAGAAGTCCTAAATTATATACCAAATTTTGAAATTCTCTTTCCAAATGCACTTTAAATTAAATGTCCAAATATGATTGAAAGAGCTGAATTCCCTCTTGATTTTAACTGATCAATTATATTTTAGATATAAATCATTGCTGAGAGACCTTAAAGATTAGATTAATTTTAGCACACATCCCAGACTAAATTTTCCCTCCAAAAGATATTCTAAAATAGAAAAAAAAATTTCTCCTGACTTCTCCATCTTCTAATGTCTGATAGAGTGATTAATAAAAAATAAAAATTCTTGTTGCCATGAGGTAATCTCGTTGTGATAAGGATGCCCCTGCTCCTTTGTTAGTCTTGTTTTTTATTCTATTTATCATATGACTAGAAGAGGCCTTCAAAGTCATCTCATCCTTCGTATGCTGAACGGATTGGCTGTATCTAGGCTACTACTGACAAATGCTTATTTAACTTTTTCTTACAGCCTCCAAGGCAGACTCAAAGCAAGATGTTCCAGCACTTCCTTCTTGCCATTAAAATCTTTTTCTCAATGTCTAATTCAAAAATTCCTTATGACTGAAACTTGCTTGTGCTCACCAAAATCATGGGGGTATTGGTGGATGAAAAACCGAATATGAGCCACCCACAAGTCCTTCTCCACAGAACTTGTCTCAATCCACTCATCACCCAGCATGTACTTCTGCTTAGGATTGCCCTGACCCACGGATCTTGCACTTGGGGTTGCTGAACTTCATGAGGTTTGCACAGGCCCACCTCTCAAGCTTCTCCAGGTCCCTCTGGATGGCATTCCTTCCCACCAGTGTGTCTACTGAACACACTGCTTGGTTTCATCAGCAAACTTGCTGAGGATGCACTCAATCCCACCGTTCAAGTTAAACTGCACTGGTCCCAGTACAAATGCCGCTCTTCACCAGTCTGCACTTGGATACTGAGCTATTGGCCACAATTGTCTGAATGCAACCGTCCAGCCAATTCCTCATTCACTGAGTGGGCCATCCATCAGATCCATGTCTCTTCAATTTAGAAACAAAGATGTTGTGTGGGACAATGTCAAATGCTTTGCCAAGTCCAGATAGATGGTGTCAGTTGCCCTTCCCTTATCCACTGACGCTGTAGCCTCATCATAGGATGCCACCAAATTTGTCAGGCAGAATTTGCCCTTAGTGAAGCCATGGTGACTGTCATCAATCACTTCCTTATATTCCATGTGCCCTAGCATAGTTTCCAGGAGGATCCACTCCATGATCTTGCAGGGCACAAAGGTGAAACTAACTGGCCTGTAGTTCCCCCTATCTTCCCTATTTCCCATTGTAAAAATAAGGGTGATATTTCCCCTTTTCCATTCAGTGGGATCTTAACCAGACTGCCATGGCTTCTCAAATATGATGGATAGTGGCTTAGCAACTTCATTTGCCAGTTCCCTCAGGACCTGTAGATGCATCTCATTGGGTCCCATGGACTTGTTGCACCTTCAGGTTCCTTAGATGGTCCCTAATCTTGTCTACTTCTGCAGTGAAAGGTTCTTCATCTTCCTAGTCCCTACCTTTGCCTTCTGCGAATTGGGCAGTGTGGCTAGAGCATATATACAGAAAACAACACATCCTTCTAAGCCCTATAGACCTAGTTTTTGTGTATCCTTCTTCCCCTTGGTATCTGTCAAGCCTATTAGTATTCCAGTGATAGGTTAGAATGTCACAATGGCCTTCCTACCTGGTGCAATTTAGACTTTTCTGTTTTGCCTTATTTGACCAAGCTATGGAGTTAGCTACACTGAAACAACTCAAAATATGTTTATGCAATGACTCGTTGATAGCTGTGTTTATTAAAGATTAAAACAGAAAGGAGGGTACAATTCAGTCACTAATAGGTTATATATATTGTATTGCTGCAGATATTTCTGTGATGATCTAAGCTGATATGTAGTATGCTTCCCATACAGGTCTTTTAGGCCTATATACCTGCCACTTGCTGACATAATCAATTTGGCATTGCAGATATCCAAAATAATACATCATATTTTCTTCTTGTTCACAACTATAAGTCTATACTGTTCTGTTTTTTTCTCTTTTTCCCCAGGTAATGCATTTGTGGTGAGCCTAGCTCTGGCTGATCTGGTGGTGGCCTTGTATCCATACCCACTTGTGCTCTTAGCTATTTTCCACAATGGATGGACAATGGGTGAAGTGCACTGTAAAGTGAGTGGCTTTGTGATGGGACTAAGTGTAATAGGCTCTATTTTCAACATCACTGCCATTGCAATAAACCGATATTGCTATATATGTCATAGTTTTGCCTATGACAAAGTGTACAGCTGTTGGAACACGATGCTATATGTCTCCTTAGTCTGGATATTAACAGTAATTGCAACTGTGCCAAATTTTTTTCTTGGCTCTTTAAAGTATGATCCACGCATCTATTCATGCACCTTTGTTCAGACTGCAAGCTCCTACTATACAATAGCTGTTGTGTTAATTCACTTCATCGTCCCTATTACCATTGTGAGCTTCTGCTATCTTCGAATTTGGGTTTTAGTGCTTCAAGTTAGAAGACGAGTCAAGTCAGAAACAAAGACAAGACTGAAGCCAAGTGACTTCAGAAACTTTCTTACCATGTTTGTGGTTTTTGTGATTTTTGCCTTTTGCTGGGCACCTCTGAACTTCATCGGACTGGCTGTAGCCATCGATCCCATGGAAATGGCACCAAAAGTTCCTGAATGGTTATTCATTATAAGCTACTTCATGGCCTATTTCAACAGCTGCCTTAATGCAATAATATATGGTCTTCTTAACCAGAACTTTCGGAATGAATACAAGCGAATATTAATGTCACTGTGGATGCCAAGGCTTTTCTTCCAGGACACTTCCAAAGGTGGAACTGATGGTCAGAAGAGCAAGCCTTCTCCTGCTTTAAACAACAATGACCAAATGAAAACTGATACCTTGTAAATATGTAATAGTCAATGCAGAGTCTGTCATGGAGAAACCCAAGAATATAGTTGTTACATTTGGATCATTTTTGCTTTCTTCAGGGGTCTTTCCATTTTGATGGCACTTTGTGACTGAATACTGTCTTCTTGACAAAGCACATTGCTCTCAATTCATGATTTAGACAAGATATCAACTGAAAATGCATTTCAGAATTAAGGCAGCAGGTGAGTGCAGGCTGGTTTAGTTCTGAGAGCCAAATTCTGCTCCCAGACATATGAATGAAATGGTTTTTTTACTTCATTGGGAGTCTTGCATTCTTTGTACAAGATCAGGATTAATTTCTTAAAGACATAGTGAAGGTACTTACTTGTCTATGGGCACAGCGGCTCGTCAGAGATGCAGAGTGACGTTTTCCTCCCTCCTATATCTGAAGAAAGAGATACTGTTTTCCACAAATAAACCAAACATCACATTTCTGTGCATGTATTGGTGGCAGTAATAGAATCCATTAATCAAACCTGTAAGCTGGAGAGAGGAATATTTGCGTAAAAAAAAATACTAACATTAGAGCCTTTCCTCCCAGGTTTTTCATGCTTACATGCACTGAGATTGGGAATATAGTGTGTTTTTCTCTGTTCATCTTTTGTGTTCAGTTTTATGGTAGATAATATAATACAAATGATTGATTTCGTGCACGTTTGCTTCATGCAATGTTCTTCCTTTAGAGAGGATGGATTTTTTTATTGCACTCCATTTATTTACCTAAATATATATATATAATGTCATTTGATCAATTGTGCACTTTGGCACAATTTACAAATTTGTCACAAGCTGGAAAAGATGGCATATGGCCTGTGATGATCTGCTCTCCTCTCATTGACTTTAGAAGGAGCTGTGACTACTAGTTCAGACATCTCACTTTGGATAGCTAGACAAGGATTTATCTTGCCAAGTTTATGATGTCTCCAGTGTAGGTGTTTGCTCATGAATTATTTTCTAAATTCCCACTGTAATCCATGGAGTTCTAGGAAATTAATAATTTTAACTTGAAATCGTCATATTTATTGGTTTGGGGAAACAATCAACAGAACTCACTGACTGTATCTTCACCGACTGTGACAGAGATCAGCTAGAAATATTTCAGTCAAAGACAGGTGATCTCAGTCCCATAATCAGTGTACCTACACTTCATGTTTGCACAGTTCATAAAAGAAAAGGATGATTTTGTATTTTCTTTTCAAATCCAGCTCAAATTCAAAATGGATTTCTTTTTCAAGTAACACATTTTAAGGGCAACCATACAGATTGGGTTACTATCTGGGTTACAGCCCACAGCAGCACAATAATTTACACAACGTGGTTTGTATTATCTCTAAATCAGATTAGGGATCTGTATATAAAGACACAGTCAATGAAGTTATTTTATCATTCGACCTCAAATCCACAAAACTCTTAGTAGTGCTGTTCATGGGGGAGGAGTAAGCCTTTGGTAAATCCATGCCAGGTATTGAAACCAGAAAAGGAGAAATTCAGGTTGCCATTACATCTCAGTTGGGTTTTCCAGACCTGTCTACTATGAAAAATATTTCTGTAGTAATGTTAATTCGTACAGCCAATATACTGCTCCTGAAGCCATAAAATGAGTTAAACATTACCCTTGTGTTGCCACACTTATAGAAAAAAACACAGTATTTTAAATGTTGTATTTACTTGCCAAAAAGTCTATGTTAACTACAGAAAAGTAACAAATGTGATGAAGTTTCTAACTTCTTTCATATTCTTCAGATAATTTCTGACAATCTCTGAAGTTCAGTGTCCTAGGACTCATAGCATAGTAGACTGATGAAAGCTGAAACCTTTGTGAATGGGGGTAAGAAAGAGAAGGGACAAATTCAAGCTGGTGACAGATAAATATTTGTAGCTCAAAGTAACAAACATTGACATGTAGGTTCTACTTGGAATATAATTTTGTACGTCTGACATTGTTTCAATGCGCATTGTATTTCTTCCTGACTTCCACACCAAGGTACTGAACACAGAACTAGTACACATCTATGTCTACATGTGAAATTCCCCCCAGAGCAAGTAAGAAGTTTCAAGAGCCTGTGAAACAACTTGCAGGAAAGGACATGAAGTTTGCTTCATTGATAATCCTGCTTTTTCTGACTTCTGTGAGTACTCAAAGTTGTGACTTGGAAGTCAGAATTTGTTGTCTGACTCTCCAATAAACTAGTATTAGAAGGAAGTTTGTTTACCTTGGTTTATCACTTGCTCACCTGAGTCGGAAGAGTTCAGAATTTGGATCAATGTCTTGTTATTTTTTTAGCTCCGTAAAACAAATCTAAACATTCGAACCACTTGCTTGGCTGTAAAAGTGATCAGCTTTCATTCTGTATACTCATGGAAAGAAGAAATTTTTATGAAGTGATTTTACAAATCGCCTCTACACTTCAAAAATTAAAGTTCACTTTTAAGAATCCTTGAGCTGATATTTCCTCAACTATCATAAGTGAATCTCAGATGAGTAATAGAGTAGAAACACCGAATGATAGAATGGTTTGAGTTGGAGGGGACATTTAAGACTGTCTAGTTTCAACCCCTCTGCCATGGGCAGGGACACCTCAAAGCTCCATTCAACCTGACCTTGAACACTTCCAAGGGTGTGGCATCCACAGCTTTTCTGGGCAACCTATGCCAGCACCTCATCACCCTCTCAGAGAAGAATTTCTTCCTAATTCTAATCTAAACCTACCCTCTACTGTTACACAGTACTTGAACACAGCAATGTATTGTTCAAAGAAAGAAGTGTTCCAAAATGTGATCCTTCCTCACAGATAACGGAAATTTTTTTAACAGTGCTACATTATTAGGTGTGGGCTCTACCATCACATTTCCCGAAAGGGGACCTGTATGGTGTCTTGCAAAGCTACCTAGTGTGCCAGGTACTACTACTTCTTGAGTCCTGATGTAAGGAAAATAACTTATGCCCATTAAAGTAAGTTTTTATAAGGTGTTACTACAAAGCATTGCATTTGAGTTGACCTGGAAAATCAAATAAATTTATAAATTTATAAATATATAAATTTTAAATTTACCTGGAGATCAATAAAATACATAACATTTATATTAATTCAGACAACCAAATGCAGCTCTCACATGGTCAAACCTCTTCATGTAGCAATATTTTACTTTTTCCATACAGTAATTTATTCCATCTAACTATGTGAGAAGCCTTAAATTAATTTTCTCACTTCTCTTATTATAATTCAAAATTCATTTTCCCTCAATTTATATTTGAAGAAAAAATTATAAATATAATTTAAAATGTGACTAACCAACAAGATAGATGATATGGTTGTAACATGATTTGAAAGTATAGTCAGGAAGAATGTATCAACTCTGTACAGATTTATGCACCTCTAAGGAATTATTTTTTCAGTTACATAAAAATATTTATACCAGCATATCAGGTATAGACACTTTAAGAAAAAGGAGGAAGAAAATCAGGTGGACCCTGTGTTATGCATAAGGTAACTAACAAAGGCAAAACTAGAGCCTCAGGGAAAAAGTCTGTTTCCAGAAAATTTGGAGTTTTGTCAAGCATTTAATGTTATCTTAATTAAAAAATGTTGTATTTTCTGTTTGTTAAAAAAAATAAATGTATTTTAGAACTGTTCTTACAGTAGAACTCTGATTAGACAGTAGCTCGTCCTCACATAAATGGGTGAAGACCGTTTTTTACTTCTGTTTCAGTAAAGAGAGAAGTGGAGGTGTGTCAAAGTCTAAAAGAGATTGAAGTGATGCATGAGCCTTTATCCTGTCTCTCCATCCAAGTGAAAATTTCACTCTCAAGGAAGAGTTAAAACTAAAGATTTGATCCTATTACTGTTGACTTCCATGAGATCAGGTTTTCACACCAAATTATTCACTGAGCAGAATAATTCTGCCTGACTCATTCTTAGGGCAGAAATGCACTTCTGTCTCTCCATTTTTTCCTTTAAGAACACACTTAGATAGAAATTACTACTTTTATTTCCCAATTGCATTTTTAAAGAACAGCACGTCTCGGAATTTTCCAATGAATAAATATCTGTGGAAGTTTGTATATATTTCTTATTATGTATATAACACAATTTTGGTCATCTAAATAATTTCTTGTATTGAAAAGCATTTACAGATCTAATGGAAAATGTGGAAGACACTTTATTTTCAGTCATCTATTGATATATTGCTATTTTAACTGGATCATGCACACTTGGTCTATAATAATAAATCAATATTTTGCCTCAAGTTATAATGAGCGTGCAAAGAGACTGCTGTGGATATCAGTTGTAGAACACATAACTCATTCCTGTTCATCATTTCGTTAGTAACACCTCCAGCTCTAGTGAAAAACATACTTACTAAAAAAAAATTAAATCTACATTTTTATAACTATTTTTGTAGTATACATTTATTCCAGGGTAAGAAACATATTAAATGTATTGTTGAAAAATTATTATATAATCCTGTTCCAAGGAAAAAGTACTCTGGGATGCCAAGAATCACGGAATTGTTGAGGCTGGAAAAGACCTCTGAGAACATTCAGCCTATGACTCGACAACACACATCATAGAGTCATAGAATCGTATCAGCTGGAAGAGACCTTCAAGATCATCGAGTCTAGCCTTTGCCCCAGCCCTATCAACCCACTAAACTATTTCCCCCAATGCAACATCCACCCGTCTCTTAAACACCTCCAGGGACGGTGACTCAACCACCTCCTTGGGCAGCCTTTTCCAATGGCTGACAACTCTCTCAGTAATATCTAATATCTAACCTGAACCTCCCCTGGCGCAATTTAAATCCATTTTCCCTCATCCTATCGCTCTCCACTAGGGAGAATAGACTAAGCCACGACTCTCTACAACCTCCCTTCAGGTAGTTGTAGGGAGCAATGAGGGCTCCCCTCGATCTCCTCCAGGCTAAACAGCCCCAGATCCCTCAGCCATTCTTCATACGACTTGTGTTCTAAGCCCTTTACCAGCTTGGCAGCTGACTCTATACCCTCTCCAGCACCTCGATGTCCCTCTTGTAGGGAGGGGACCAAAACTGGCCACAGCATTCAAGGTGCAGC